TAGGAAATAAAATTTAAATTCCCTTTAAAGGACATGTAAAAATACTTTAAAACCTTTCCTTTTAAAGTCTTAATTTAATCCTGATTAAATAAAACAATAATCTTCATGTGATCATATTAAACTTAGAAATAGACTCTTTTTTTTTACATGTGACTTTGGAATGGAAGATAAAGTACCTGCGTGTAAATAAAGGCTGCTACTAATTTACCCGTAAACAGAGATCAGCTGACACGTCCCTAAACCCGACCCGGTTATACGGGCCGGATTTTTTCAAACGGGCCGAGCATATAATTTTAAAATCTAGCTATAAAAATTGAAAACAAAGATATTTCGAACAGGTCTCTGCTCATAAATGTAAAATTATTTTTTTAAAAAAAAAAAAAAAATTGTAGCTCAAATTGGCTTCATCTTATATATATAAAAAAAATTGGACCTGTTTTAATTCTATCGAAAGAAGGCTTCTGAGGAGGCATTAAGTTAGTAAGACAATTAAGTCTTTTAATTTGAGGTGGCCGCGGGCCGTGAGTGTGAATAAATTTTAAATTCCAAGGCGTGACTGGGCGTGACGGGCCTTCCCAAAATTTTCACCCGGCGTGATCGGACGTGAACATAAATTTCCCGTGAATCACGGAAATTTTAATTTTAAAATTGTTTTTTTTTATAAATATAAATTTGCAATTTTAATAATTATATTATATATTTTCCTATTTTAATTTAGTTCCTTTTTTTAAAAAAAAGAATAATTTATGAAAATTAAAAATCTTCCGCATTTTATAAACAACATCCGGTATCATTTCGTTACTTCTATTTTCTTTTTATGTTTTTTTTATCGCGAGACTTTATGCTAAATTTTGCTTAAACATTTTACAGAAAAGTCAGTTATATTTTATTTGTAAAGATCTTCAATCTTTAAATGCAACAGAAAGTGAAGGATTTTACAAGCTAGGCCAAGAGATAAATGTTGGTGTTACATATGGATAACAAAATATAAAAGTTGTGAACCGAAAAACTCTCATGAATACTATAGGTTTAAAAATATACCATGAAATAAAATTTAAGATTAAAGGCATGATCATTGTCCATAATCACTAATATTTGGATGGATGACTATAAAAATCTAAGTTTTTTAACCATTATAGGACATATTATCATTAAGGATTTTAAATTAAAAACATTTGTTTTGGCCACAAGGGTAATGGATAAAAAAATGTCAAAATTAAAAGTGCAGTCAACTCAATTTTAGGAGAATATACAGAAGTAGAAAATTACTTTTAAAAATGTATAGTTGTGACTTGTGAGTGATAACGGAGCAAATCTTGTAAGTGCATTCAAAGATGACAAAACGCTAGCATGTATATGCCATATACAAATAATATTATGCATTATGTTTTTGACAATTGTTTAATTGAAATAGCCTTAAATATAAATGGTGTAAAAAAAATAGTACAATATTTCAAACAATCTACAGCTAATAGCAAACTAAACCACAACCTTAAACAAGATGTAACAGCGAGAATAACGAGATGGAACTCTGTATATATCATGATGCAGAGTTTCTTAAAATCATATTCTGAAATACAGGCGTACTTGTTTAGCAAGCAAGAATTAAATAGATTAAACACAATTGGTATCAGCATCATACGCGAGTTAGATAAATTTTTATCAATATTTAAAGAATGCTCGGATAATCTGAGAGCATATTCTCGTCCCACAATAAATGAAGTTTGTCTATGGAAACAAAAATTAGTAAAATTTTGTTAACCTTCTGAACGTGATACAATAATAATCAAAATATTAATATACAGAACAAGATTTCTTTTAAAAGATTATTATGCAGCAACTACATAGGGTAGGCTTAATTCTACGTATAATTTAAAGAAGAAAATAATATATATAAAACAATCTTAAAAATGCTAAATGATATAAAATTAGATGATATGCATAAGTCAACGCCAACTATCAATTATAGCTTTCCTAACTTATCCTAAACTCATAAAAAACCGTATATTCTAAATGGTCAATACCAACTATCACTTTCCTAATTCATCCGACACTCATTAGAGAATTTATAGATGATTCTGATGAAGCATCAACATCACCGATGAAGGCTGTAAGGATGAATTTAAAAGATTCATATAAGATAAATAACAAAACAATATTTGAAGTTTTGGAAGCAGGAATATTCATTTCCTTTTTTGAGAAAATTATCGAGTAAAATTTTGTCAGCTGCAAGTTCGGCTTCTAGTGAAAAGTTATTTTTTGTAGCCAATCTCTTATTAGAGAAAAGGCGTACACAATTGAAATAAAAAAAAAAGATGGTCATTCTTCTTTTTCTAAATAAATTTCGATTTATAGATTATATTTATTTTTTTGTTATTAATATGGATTATGAAATTAGAGAAATAAAATAAGAATGAATTCAAAAAAGTGTGTAAAATTATAGCAATAGTTTTGAAGAATTTAAAAAACACCGTAAATTTTCGGGTGACGGGCGTGAATCAAAATATTGATTGTCGTGAGCGGGCGGGTCGGAATATTTCTCCCAGTGGATTCAATTTCGTTTATAGAATTACAGTACTTCGAAATTAATTTTTTTTTTTTAATTACTATTTCTTATTAAAATGTTATGAAAAATAGTAAATCTAGCCGAAAGCTTATAGAAATTTTGGGTTTATAAAAAATATATATTATTATTAATATATTTAATAAAATTAAAAGGTTAACTTTTATTTTTTAAATGAAACCTTTTTATCAAAATTTAATATAACAAATATTTTGGGGTAAAAATAAATTGGAAAATGAAATAATAGTGATATCAAGGGCATTATATATAAAAAAATTAATTAATCAACATGTGTATTATTAAATGAAACTTAATATCGATTAAAAGGCAAATCAATTATTACTATAATTTGATAATAGATGATTTACGAAATTATAAGTATTTCAGAGTTTTTGGCTGGAAAAAAATACCTCTAAAATGGTATCTGGATTAGAGGTCTGCAATTGGTGGGTTTTTAACCTAACCCCCCCCCCACGCCAATATTTTGGGCGCGGGTGGTCGAGTTTTCTAAAATAGTTTAGACAATTGGGTGTGTAGCGGGCAGGTTAAAAAAAATTTTAAGTAATGGGTAGAGGGGCAGGCGAGTAAATTCTTAATTTTTTCAGGCGAAACTGAGCAGACTTAAGTTTATTAAAAATAATAATTTTATTTGATAAATATTGAATATTAAACTAAGTTTAATTATTAATAATAATACATTTAAATAACGAGCCAAATCAGCCATTTAAAAAATAATTAATTTTGAAAAAAAAAATTCGATTGTGCGAGCCTTTTGGCTAAACCCCGACTATTGGAGACCTTTAATCTAATAGATACTTTTTATGAAATGTATTTAGATAACGATACAACATTTTTGCATATTTAACAACTGGTAAACCTAATCAATGTCAAGTTCATATGTTCCATATTGTAATTATTGATAACTCATTCCTCTCTTTAAAGGGTTAAAGATAGGAAAACGCCTTTATAATTTTTTTTTGTAAAGATTTAGTTTGGCAAAGATCTGCAGAGGTACCAGTTGCATGGCCCAGCCCGGATTTTTTTTTCAAAGTTTTTTCAAGTCCAGCCAGGGGTACATTTTAAAAAATTATGCAGGCCTCTGGTTTTTGTCATATATTTTGCCAAATATCGAAATGGTCCAAATATAATAAATACTTTAAATCAACTAATTAATTCTAATCAATCTTTATATAATTTTTTTCCCTCTATTATATTGTAAAATATGTCATTCTAATCAATCTTTATATAATTTTTTTCACTCTATTATATTGTAAAATATGTCAAAAATATAAAACTAATAATTTTTAGTATGGCTAATATTGTGTTAAATATACAATCGTACCTATTGATATTTTTTGACAAAGGCAGGCCCAGGCTTGCAGTAAAAAAATTTTTAAGCCCAAGTCCAGCCCATATTTAATGTTAAAAAAAATTCCCAAGCCTATGTATGATAAGTTTCAAAAAAATTTCCCAAACCCAGTCCAAGCCCATATCCAAAAATTTAATTATTTTTTATTTAATGAAAATAAAGAATATTTAAATATATTTAGGCAATCATTTTGTTTAAAACTGAAATTTATTATTATTAGCAGAAAAAAAAGCAATATTTCTTTCAACGGTTTTAAATAATCTAAATTTAATCCTTTTAAATCCAAGCTCGGCTCATTAAAAAAAAAATTTTTTAATTCAGACCCGGCCCAGGCCCACTATAAAATATAATGTTAGACGGGTATGGATTATTTTTTATTTAATGAAAATAAAGAATATTTAAATATATTTAGGCAATCATTTTGTTTAAAACTGAAATTTATTATTATTAGCAGAAAAAAAAGCAATATTTCTTTCAACGGTTTTAAATAATCTAAATTTAATCCTTTTAAATCCAAGCTCGGCTCATTTTTTAATTCAGACCCGGCCCAGTATAAAATATAATGTTAGACGGGTATGGGCCTGTGGACCGCGTGCCGACCCGACACATGAAGGTATCTGATTTGCATAGCCTGGTCCAGATTTCAATTTTAATCTCCACCCAACCCAAACTAAGTTTAATATTTTCAGGTCAGGCTAGGATTATTTATAAATATATCATATTCCCGAAATTTTTTTTAAAAAATTTACCCACACCCAGCAGATCGAATTTTTTTTAATTGGTCCTGAAAATCTCGATTCGATATAAAAATTATTTTTCCGCTCACGAATTTATTTGAATGTATATTTAATGTTTTTTTAGTTCTAACCAAAAAGCCCTTATTTATAAAATTTTTTAAAAATATTTATAGGGCCCAAGCTAAAAATTAATACAACTTAATTAAAAAGATTTTTGGACATAGTAATCTATTAAAATTCTAAGCATAATCTAGCATTACCAATGTATAAAAAATTCTTTATTATTCAAATTAATAAATCCCAGTTTACAATATAATATAAACAAATCATGAATATATTAAAATCTTTATTTCAAAACTAAATAATTAGGTAAATTCATGAGTATTCATATAAACTAAAAACAAAATGCGTGAACTAATTTTACAAATACACATAATATATAAATGTTATATTTTCAAAAAATTGGTATAATATTTAATCGACTTCTTCAATAGTGGGTCCTGATCCAGCACCTGCATGATGACCAGCACCAGGCATCCCACCTGGCATTCCTCCAGGCATACCCGGCATTCCTCCAGGCATACCAGGCATTCCTCCTGGCATACCGGGCATCCCTCCTGCTCCTCCCGCGCCTCCTGCTTGATACATTTTTGTCATAATAGGGTTACAAATTTTTTCTAGTTCTTTCTGTTGATGCTCAATCTCCTCCTTTTCAGCTAAGGAATTTTTATCCAACCAGGCAAGGGTGTGAGTGCAGGCATCGTTGATAGCTTTGCGGTCTGTCTCGTTTATTTTATCCTTAACCTTTGTTTTAATTTCAAAAAAATGAAGTTATATTTAAGAAATTTACAAATTATCATATTATGAGCTAAAAAAGGCATTAATAAATAATATACCTTATCATCCTCGACAGTGGATTTGAGATTAAATGCGTATGCTTCAAGGGCATTTTTGGCAGTAACCCTTTCTCTCACATTTTCATCTTCATTTTTATATTTTTCAGCATCGTTAACCATTCTTTCAACATCTTCTTTACTAAGGCGACCTTTTTCGTTGGTTATAGTTATCTTGTTCTCCTTACCAGTCGTCTTTTCAACAGCAGATACATTGAGAATACCGTTGGCATCTATATCAAATGTAACTTCTATTTGAGGTACACCACGGGGTGCAGGGGGTATTCCAGTGAGTTCAAATTTACCCAACAAGTTCTATGAAGTTTGAAAAAATATTATAATAAGGAAAATGTTATTAAGTATAATATATTCATAATTAACAACTAAATAAATTACATTATCTTTGGTCATGGCACGTTCTCCTTCATAAACTTGAATGCATACACCTGGTTGATTGTCGGAATATGTGGTAAATGTTTGTGTTTGCTTTGTGGGAATTGTAGTATTTCTTTTGATAAGAGAAGTCATAACTCCTCCAGCAGTTTCAATACCAAGGGAGAGGGGAGTTACATCAAGCAAAAGCAAATCTTGCACTGCCTCATCTTTGTCACCAGTTAAAATGGCAGCTTGAACAGCTATAAATGAATAAAAAATATTAATTAGTTATAATTTAAAAATTGTCATTTATAAAATCAGACATCCAAGGAAGATTTAAACCATCATGGGTAATTTGGTGGAAACCGCGAATATGGAAAATATCATCATGTATATATATTAATGAATTGTTAAATTTACCAGCACCATAAGCTACAGCCTCGTCAGGGTTAATGCTTTTGTTTAATTCTTTTCCATTAAAGAAGTCTTGCAAAAGCTTTTGTATCTTAGGAATTCTAGTGGAACCACCAACCAAGACAATATCGTTGATTGTGGCTTTATCCATCTTGGCATCTCTCAGAGCTTTTTCAACTGGTTCGAGAGTTCCTCTAAAGAGATCAGCATTTAATTCTTCAAAACGAGCACGAGTAATATTTGTGTAATAATCGATTCCTTCAAAAAGGGAATCTATTTCAACACTAGCCTGAGTACTTGAAGATAATGTCCTCTTAGCTCGTTCACAAGCAGTTCTCAATCGTCTGACGGCTCTTTTATTTTCCGAAATATCTTTCTTGTGCTTCCTTTTAAATTCTTGAATAAAGAAAGTTACCATTCTCTGGTCAAAATCTTCGCCTCCCAAATGAGTATCACCAGCTGTGGATTTTACTTCGAAGATACCGTCCTCGATAGTTAAAACAGAAACATCAAACGTTCCACCACCCAAGTCAAATATCAAAACGTGGATTTCACCATGACCCTAACATTTAAATATTTATTAGTCAAATCCAAAAAATGTAATATTACCTTTTTGTCAAGACCATAAGCGATGGCAGCGGCAGTAGGCTCATTGATGATCCTGAGAACATTTAACCCAGCAATGACTCCGGCATCTTTAGTTGCTTGACGTTGTGAGTCATTGAAATAAGCAGGAACCGTGACAACGGCATCTTTGATGGTCTAAATTATAAATATAAAATTAATATATAAAATATCAATGTACCGTTCCAAGATAGGATTCAGCAATTTCTCTCATTTTAGTCAAAACCATGGCAGATATCTCTTCAGGATAAAAATCTTTTTTCTCGCCTTTGTATTCAACCTGAATCATAGGTTTGGTGTCACGATTTATGACATGGAATGGCCAATGTTTCATGTCTGCTTGTACAGTAGCATCATCAAAACGCCTACCAATCAATCTTTTAGCATCTAAAAATTAATAAATATAAAGCCATTATAAAATTGCTTTAATTGCTTAAAATTATTGTTATAATTTTATATAATTTATTATTTGAAATGAGCTTACCAAATACAGTGTTTGTGGGATTTATGGCAACTTGATTTTTGGCAGCATCTCCTATTAATCTCTCTGTATCAGTAAAAGCTACATAGCTAGGTGTGGTGCGATTTCCTTGATCGTTAGCTATAATCTCGACTTTTCCATGATTAAATACTCCAACACACGAATATGTAGTACCAAGATCAATACCAATTGCTTTAGCTTTTCCCATTATTAGATTATTTAATGATAGTTAAAATAACGTAATTTATAAAAATTTAAGTGAAATAAGAAACTGTAAAATTTGTTTTATTTATATTTCCAAAAAAGAATTTTCAAGAATGATATAGAACATTTCAATCATTTTGATTGGTCCAAATTATTTATTTGCAAAAAGTGTCGATTTGTGTTTTTATATGATTTACAGAATTTAATTTTAATAAAAAATATGAATTAGACATATGACAATATAATATAAATTTAATATTTCAAATAATAAATTATAATGATATTATTATATATAAATAAATTTTTAGGTCATAAATATTTTACACATTTAAAATAACAAAAGATTTTTATTTATTATTTTTCTCCATTTGTAAAATTATAATAAATTACCGTGTTTAGGTTACATATAATTTTTAATTATAAAAAAAGCAATTAATTTAGAATTTTAATTTGTATTAATTTCATAAATATTAACAAAATATAAAATAATAATCCAAGGCTAATATTTTTTAATTATAATATAAACTTTAAATAATTATATCAAATAAAAATGCCCAATATGTCAAATTATTGGCTTTTTATTTTTCACTTGCGATATATTAATATTATTACTGCGAAAATTATAAAATATAAGTGTATAACATCCAATATTGTTATAAATAGTGTATAATACATAAATTTTACTTTTTTTTTATTAAGTTCAAAAATGTTACCAATATTTCTTGTCTAACTTTGACTTATTCAATAAATATTTTAAAGCCATTTTGAAAAAAAATATAATAAATTTGTTAACAAAAATATGGAACAAAGATGAGTTGATACCACTTTTTGTTTATCCCTGATAATCTCGGATAGTGTTATGGGAAATTCTCAGCGCACATATAGCACTTTGCTAATAAAGAAACATACTTTCTGAACTTAAATTAATATAATTGATTATATGTAGGTGTAATTTTTGGTTTATGCCCGATAATCTCGGATAGTGTTGTGGTAAACCCTGAAGAGAAAATCGATTCAATTTTTTTTAAAGAAACGTACTTTATGAATTTAAATTAATATAAAGCAAAATAAATCAAAATATTATCAATTATATTTTATGTAAGTATATTTTTTGTTATTCCCCAATATCTCGGATAGTATTGGGGAAAAAAGCATACATATAGCACGATTCAAATTTTTTTGCTCATAAAAATACGTCTTATCTCCAATCCCAATAATCAAGGTGAACAAGGAGGAGGGTACATCAAAATGATATAAGAGTATAACTTATGGGGGTGTATCACTCCTCGCTGTATAAAGAGTATATTACACCACCCTTCTTAAAACATGAAGGGTAACTCTTTTAGCTCCTACTGAAAAAATTATAACAAAATTAACTAAAAGTTGAAAGAAGAAATATAATATTTACACCTTACTTTAAAACATGCTAACTAAGATAATACTTTAATTTATATAAATAAACGCTGCTAAAAAAATCAGAATCATCAAATATAAAAATAGTAGATAATCTAATTTTATTAACTGAGAAATGTTTTTAATTTCTTATTTGATAATTTTTTAATATTTAATTTATAAACAAAATTAAATAATGATATTTTATTTTCCTTTTAAGATAATTGTTTTATGTAAGGTGAACCTGCTAAATAAATCAGAATCAATGTATGATAAATAAATCAAATGAGTGAACAGTAGATAATATTTTATTCACCGAGAAATTTTTTAATTTCTTGAAAACTTTTCAATATTTAATTTATAAATTGCAAAATTAAAATAACATACATGATATTTCATTTACCGTTATTATATTGAATATATAAACAGATAATTTTTTTTTTATAAAATTAATAAATTTGGAATAAATTTTATAAAATTAATTAATTTAAAATAATTTGTAATTAATGTTTTAATATGTCTTCTATCACTATGACTTATAGTCTTTTTAATTATTATTAGTTTTTAAGTTAGAATATGCATACTGGACTGAATTAGGAAGCCCTTCCCATTTATAGCTTTACTTTATTAGGTTCGGGTATATCTTTTATAATATCATACAAGTAATCACTTTCTGCATTGTCATGCATTTTTAGAAAATTAGATAAATCTTATTATTTATAAAAAAATATAAACTTCAAGATCGGTGCTACCTATTTCATTACAGATTGTGCTAAATTAATATTTTATCTTTTCCTAAAATTTCTGCAGCCACCAGCGTCTACATGAGCTGGAGGGGTAGGAAGAGTTTGCATCCTATTTTTTGAGGAGGGTAGGGGGTAGGCGGCTTTAATGGGGGTAGGATAAATTTTTTGGGGGTTATCTATTAAATTTTGAGACGAAATAATACAAAATTTATTGTTGTAAAAATTAATACTTTAATTATAGAACTATTATAATACAATTCATCGACCAAATCTATACATTGCAAACAATCATACATGCACATTGTTTTCCAAATAAAACTTTCTGCTATCCTTTTAAATGTAATTTAAAAGGTTTAGATATTTCAGCAAGCTCATAATGTTATAATAACTAATTTATTGAAAATAATGGAGGTTTTAATTGAATTAATTATCTAAAAAAATATCCTATATATTACAAAATATCGATAGTTGGTAGTAGAGATAGATTAATTTAAGTTATCCTTTATAAATTCTCTGAAAAGAGTATCATTATAATTAAAAAGGTGGAAATAATAATGGGGAAACAGCGCCGCCGAAGGTGGCGGGATTTTTTAGGGGGGTAGGAAAAGGTTTTTGAAGAGGGTTTTCATTCAGTGAAAATTCTCTCATGCAGATGCTGAGATTACCAAGAATTATAAAAATTGTTGATATTTATGAAATTTAGAACTACCTCGTCAAATGTGTTGCTGTAAATTTCTTATTCTAGCAAGACAAGGCCATTCAGGCTGCACTTTGTACTTCTGTTCAAACCAATTTAATGCGAATCTAATTTTCTTAGTAGCTGGTGGTTTATTTGTAAAGCATTGTGATAATTACGATTCTCTTCTGTAAATTATATTTTCTAATAACAATATTTAAGCATAAAATAATAATTAAATCAGCTGATAATTAAGCGCCTAGCCCTATTATGTTGTGCATACAAGTACACGTACAACAGAGTAATACTTGGTTTCCTAAAATAAAATAAAATCCATCAGATTGGGTATCAAAAATTTAGGGATTGATGTATTCAATAATATTTTATTTATTTATTTAGTGCTAATCTCTAATTTAATAATCATCGCTTCGCAGTTATTCGATAAAAATAGCTTTGTTAACATATAAATGTGAGTTAAAATTTTTCTCATATAACTGATATTTTGCTTATCCGATGAATTTAAAAATATATTTTAACATTTTGTTATTGTAGATTTTAAAATGGTGGACTCTTATATGAACTTAAGCAATATGGAGATATTATTGATTTTGAATGAGGATTTACTTAATAAATTTAAGACTTTTTATATCTATTTAATAGTTTTTACGACTGTGAGTAAAATTTTCTTATTAATTTCATACTTTAATAGATTTTATTAGTTTGTCATATATGTAGAATGGGGCCTTCGCCCCCCATACCCGCCCCCCATTTGCGGGCCTTCGGCCTGGTTCTATATTTATATATTATACTTTTTTTAAATTTGCTAACTCTGAATTATTCTGAATTTCATATTTTGTCATTTATTATGCACACAAAATAAACTAGCATATAAATAATTAAAACAATACAAGACATTTCTATAAATAATATTTTTTAATACAAAAACTATTTATTACATTTTCGATTGATGATATAAAAAAAATTTGCGTCTAAGGAATTACAAGTGATAAAAAGGATTAATTAATTCATACATATGTCTCAATTGATAATAGTTTTTAAAAAGCACATAATGCAATAATATAATTCTTAACAACTTATATTGACAAAAGGTTATCAAACAAATATAACTCTATGTTACCATTTTACACTTGAATGGACTAATAAGGAAAAATTTATAGGCCTAACCAAATCAAAAATCCTTGAAGAAGAGAATATAAACAGCCAATCCAAATCAAAAAACTGTACGGTGGCTAGAGCATTCTCTTATAGATGACATGATGGAAGCTAGATAAGTAATCGAGAAAATTATTGTGAAATATTAAATAAAGATTACCTTCCATTTTTAATGATATACAAGTTGAGTATGTAAAGATTTCATTAATGTGTTATTGATAATATGAGATGAAAATTGATGGTTAAAAAATAAAGAAAGGATTAAGTGAAATAAAAAGTTTTTTCATATTTACAAAGTTGAGGGAATATTGTTTTTATCAATTCAAAGACGATTTTTCAAATCTCTCAATCCATGTTAGGTATGTGTACACCATCAATTCTCGAAATTCCATTAATCTGTTTGTAAAAAATAAATAAATAAAATCAACAAATATAAAAAAATACGTACCGATGACATACGTAGCGATGACATGACGTCACGATGACGTGGTGAGGACATTGGAAAATTATAATATAGATATACAAGTACATTCAAATATTTAAATATCCTTATCCTAACCTATTTATAATCTTCAATACTTATAAATAACTCTTTCTTTATTTTTTCCCCCTCCCTTAATGAATTTATTTATCACTAAATTTTATTATCTCATTCTTTTCTTTCTATCTCTATTATCTATTAACCACTATTTCTCAAAACCTTATCAATTCATTTAATTTAATTTTTATTATTTTTATAATATAATAATTTATACCTTCTTTTTTCCCTCTTTTTTAATCTTATTTTTTAATTACCTTACAATTAATTAACCTTAATCTTAATAACATTACATTCATCATGTTATTTTTTAACTTTTAGAATATCATAATAGGCTTGATAAGTCCCCCAAAATTTTTTTTTGATGATAGCCCTCCAACTACTATAAATATGCATCTAATATTGACCCATCTACCGGTTTTACATTATTTTAATGTTTGTTTAATTTCAACAATAGTTTATTTATATTTTTGCCTGATTTCTTTATTTGTCTAGGCTAACCCTAATCCCTCACATTGCTATAAAATATGATGAATCTATTATTAAAGATAATCAAAGAAAATAATG